CCAGGTAAGTCTCCCCCCCCCCCCCCCCCCCCCCCCGGGTCCGGTTGGGTAGGTGGGGTGGGCCGAAAGAGAAGAGACAGCCAAGTTTAATTATTATATTTTACTGTTTCAAAATAATCATTGATGTTTTTAAATACATTTTTAAAAAATATATTTTTTTAAAACAGTGATTACCAATCATAATCTCTTTACACCCATCGGCTTTATCTCAAATAGTTAGACGATGAGAAAATTATCTGACTCTTAGTTTAGGCTGATTGAATTTTTCTTTGTTTTCACTCGATTATAGATCGCTTTGTTAAATACCCCCATTAACTTCTGATTGAAATGTTCCCGTAGGTTAATCATTACGTGTGTGCGCTGTAATTATGATCTATTTCATCTGTCAAATTTAATCAAACAGCGTCTTCAACACCTGCTTTATCGATTAGCACCTTGCAGTAAAGTATGTCACGTATTGGTTATTAGCGTTAAGCAATTTAAGCGCATCGCTGAATTCTTATGAAAGGTGACAAGAAAAAGGTCGGGTAAGAATTAACTTTTAATGACAGCTAAATTTGCCGTACTTCTAATGGGTCCCTTTGTTTGTCACCCTATGATTTGGCCCTAGGGTGTGCGCGTGTTAGCTACCAACTGTCAAACTGTCCTGGGGGTGTGGTTGGGGAAGGATTGGGGTTGGGATTCGATTAAGTTTTGACAGATAATTTTGGGAGAAGTCTTGGAAGATTGTAAGGAGAAGAACGCACCATGAATCCGTACAATTTAAACCACATTTAAATGAAAGCAAAACTTTTGGCCTAACATTTTTTTTTGAGGAAATGTTGAGCTAGTAAAAGGAATTTCAGACTCTCAACAAATACCCAATGAATAAGATGGAGAACCGGGACAGTGGTCAAGTGACGTGTATAAACAGCACGCGCACTGTGCAGGGTCCAATGGAAGATGCCCCATTATTTAGTGAATGGGATAAACAAGTTTTCATCGTAGTAAATCACGTGGCGTTGAGCACCCTCATTTGCCTGTTTGGCTTCGTGGGCAACGTCATAAATATTTGCGTGTTTGTGAAACAGGGCCTGGGCAAAGCGATCAATTCAAGTTTGTTCGCCATTGCCATTTCGGACATCCTGGAGATAGTCTTCCAGATCTGGCACAACCTTTGTTTGAATCCGTATCTGCTGGAGCTGGACTCTGACCTTGATCTCGACCAGATTCAGTACCTGACCGCTGGCTGGCCCAGCCTAGTCCTCGTCAGGATCACCAGCTGGGTGACAGTGTACATCACGGCGGAGAGATGTCTGTCCATAGCGCTTCCATTAAAGATCAAACAGATCGTAACCCCTCGGCGGACGGCCGCGATCCTGGCCTTCATCTTCGCCATCAACGTGGCGTCGGTTGTTCCCCTTTACTTCTCGGCTTATTTCAGCTGGAATTTTTACCCGGCCCGGAACAAGACGAGGCTCGGGATATCCTTCAGAAGCAACCAGCTGTACATCGACCATCTGCTCACGCTCTTTCAGGCGTCTCTGACCATCATCGCGTTCGTGTTCGTCGTCGTGTTTACAACAGTGCTGGTGGCCAAACTCAAACAGAACTCGAAATGGCGTCGCCGGACAACATCATCGGACGATAGACAGACGGGATGGATGTCGGGTAAAGAGAGAAGAACCGTTGCCATGGCGATCGCCGTCGCCGTCGTCCTCATCGTCTGCCTCACCCCCGATGTCATATTCACCCTCATGACGTCCAGCGACCCCAGCTTCGGCATCACGGGCAAGGAGACCAACGTGTTCCAGGCCGCCTGGTCCTTTGCGTTTCTCCTCCACTCCGTCAATTCGAGCATCACCATCCTCTTGTACTACAAGACGAGCACGAGGTACAGGCAGACTTTTCAGGAAATGTTCCCGAGATTGTGCAACGACGGTGGCCTGCGCGCGAGGACAAAATCTTTAAACTCATCAGTGAATTGTCCACATCAGTTCTGATGGCGTCGGTTCGAGTCTGTTCTATGGTTCATATTCAAAGTACACATTTTTTTTTAATATCGCGTTTTAAACGGATGCATATTTTTCATGGCCATATGTGTTCACGTTGAAAACTCATGTGTGGGGTTATTGTTTCCTGATATTCCCACAACTATTGTGGAACTGACTCCACTTGAAAATACTTAAAGTATATAACATTTTCTGGATTGATAATGTTTTATCTGATTATTTTAATGTTAACAATTAACTCATCGATCTCACGTTAAGTTAGGTCTATGTGGTTTTCTGACTGGTTTTAATAACTAAGTACTTGGGGTTAACCGGGTGCAGATTTTTTACACCGGGTCCGGGTATTTTGAGGAAATACCCGGTGGGTCCAAGTGTTAACGAAAAAAAAGAGTTAACTTCTTATTTTCCATAATATGTGCCCGCCGTTAAACAATAGTCCTACGAAGACAGTCCTAAACCCTAACTGTCGGCCTCTAAACAATAGTCCAAGAGACAGTCCTACACCCTACCCGCAGGCCTTTAAACAATCGTCCTACAGATAATCATATACCCTACCTGTCGGCCTTTAAACAATCGTCCTACAGACAGACCTACGCCTTCCCGGTGGCTCTTTATTGAATAATATAATAGTCACCTTAAAAAAAATTAACCTTTTTACCTAAGTTCAACCGACACGCATGACGTGTAAGGCTTGACAGTCCCCCCCCTACACCCCCCCCTTTTTTTCCCAACACAGTACTGATAATGTAAAACATGTTGAGCAGGGGAGGGCCAAATGGGAAATGGAAGCAGCCACACCAGAAGCGATATATCTATAAAGAGATATTACACAATTGGTAGTTTTCAATATTGAGCGGTGTAACTGTGATGACTGTGGGCGGGCGAGCGTTCATTACAAAACTTGTGGACTAGAGTTTTAAAACCCACTCAGAATCACCTGATTCCCACCCACGCCGTTGGTGAACTCACGGAAACGCCACGTGTTACAACTATCTTGCCCTCCCCCTCTCCATGTGCGACGCAAACATTTCGCAGGACATTTCTTGAGTACAGTACAACACCGCACATATAATGAGCCTTTGTCCGTCCGGTTTTAGATTATGCATCTTCAGTCTGGGACCCATTTACCCAGAAGAGCATCGACAGGTTGGAGGCGGTCCAGCGACGGGCAGCACGCTTTGTCTTGAACCGCTACAGGAATACCTCTAGTGTTGGCAGCATACTGGAAACACTAGGCTGGTCACAATTGGAGGAACGACGACGACAATCCAGGCTCTCCACGATGTACAAGATAAATAATGGGCTGGTCCACTGTTCCAGTATTAAACAGAAACTCGTCCCTCTCCCCCATAGACAGAAACGAGGCCATGACAGGCAAATCAGGCTCATACCAGCAAGAAGCCAGTATAGGAGCTGCTCATTCCTGCCCAAGACAATCAGGGACTGGAACAATCTTTCAAAAGGAACGGTTGAGGCGACAACACTAGACACATTTGTGTCTATTGTCTCAAGCCTTCAAACCCCCAGTTCATGATTCCCTCACAAAGTGGCACTGGAAATCAGTGAAATTTCCTCATCAACACCAGGAACAGAAACATTGCAAATCCCATCTACATGCATAGGAGCCAAAATGATCAATAATTGATCGCGGGCCCTTAAGATATAGAAGAAGAAGAAGAAACACATTTCTCAATGTAACAGTATAAATAAGATATGAAATGAAGGCTAAGCTCTGTGCTACAGCTAGCGGTATTATCAATTCTAGATTCTTTTAACACCCTACATCCTATGACTGCTGACTCCAGTTATCCAACCAATCTTCACGCATTTAAGCTAAGACATTCACGAAAACCACTCATCAACGTTCAGTCAGTCACCATGACAATAACACAGGCCAATAAGGTCACTAAGTTCAGTCAGGTCACGTGGAAGCAATGCTGACCCAGTTACTCTTAGAGTCACATCACCCCCTTAACGAGACAATGCATGATGAAAGAAAGGAAAACAGCGCTGTATGCTCAAAAGGTAATTTGCATTGGACATCAATGTATATTTTAGATATTATTATATCAGAGTAGGGTCTTGGTGGTTTCACTTGCCTGCCATATCTTGTTACCACTTGTGCTGGGATAGGATTGGTGGCACTTGGTAGCGACACATTCACTAAAGTATCTTTTCCAACCTATTTTTCAACCACTACAGTCTCTTTTTCAACCACTTCGTCTCTTTTTCAACCACTTCGTCTCTTTTTCAACCACTCCGTCTCTTTTTCAACCACTACGTCTCTTTTTCAACCACTACGTCTCTTTTTCAACGACTAAAGTCTCTTTTTCAACCCCTACATTCTCTTTTTCAACCCTTACATTCTCTTTTTCAACACCTACATTCCCTTTTTCATCCACTGAAGTCTCTTCTTTTCAACCTCCGGGTTGGAAGCTCATCGTTCATTGGCTCTTTCGGGGCTGTCCAGTTGGAAAACATCAGGAAGGGAGCACCCCGTCGCCCGCCTTATATCTCTTTTAACAATGCTCGATTTCCTCGGTAGGTCATCCCAATGGGTGTCGTGACAATGTATATGATCTTGGTAGAGACGTTTCCTGAGATCACTTCTGCTGGCGTCCACGAGCTTCTGAGCCTGAATATGGACACTGACACCAGGCTAAAACAGCGGAGATACTTTTCCCTGCAGAGTGCTGATCAACTTTTTCCACGAGAAATGGAAAGAGAAAAGATTCAGATTATAATTTTTTTTAAAAAAGGAAATGCTCACGTCAAAACAAGCAAATTTAAAAAAAAAAAGAGAAATGCTCACGTCAAAACAAGCAAATTTAAAAAAAAAAAGAAAAATGCTCACGTAAAAACAAAAAAAATAAAAAAAAAAAAAAAAAAAGACAACGAAAAAAAAAAAAAAATAAAAAAAAAAAAAAAAAAAACCCACATAAAAACAAACAAAAAATTATGAAAAGCCTTCTATAAGTCAATAGTATTGTTTTTGTGAGGAACTGTGTGTAATTAAATATCTATTGTATCATGCCTAAGTTAAGGGCGATAACAAGGACTCACGTCATGTTGCTCTCACCACCATTGTGTCTTGTACAAACAAGTGATCCAGGCTGAACTCAGAAAAAACTTATTTAGACTGATGGGAACTTGACTTCACATTTCATAAATGACCAGTTCTCAGTCAAATGTCAAACATTGTTTCCACTTCTCCATGTTCCGAACATATATAATTGACTTACTTTTTTCAATCTTCCATCATATCTTAGCTTTAATTATGTTTATACGAACTATTTCCACTACTTACGTTCTATCACATTCCTGTTGTTTTCTCTCCTTCA